AAGTAGGTTAACTTATATTGGAGATTGGCAATTAATAATGAATAATTAGAAGTAGTAGTGGAGTTTGAATCAATTTTTCAGTTTTTATGACATCGTCATGTACACATAAACACATTTTATACGTTATTGAGTTTATCAAAAATTTAAGAGTGTAAAAAAGTTATTTTAAAATACATTTTAGATATATTTTACATTCTCTCTTTAGTACTATGGTAACAAAAATTGCAAATAAATATCCAACCCACACACTTTACCTCCAATACAGTGAAATCCCCTCCCTTTCAATATGATAACTTAAACCTAAGTCGGCGCAGTTAAGTACTAAAGGAATGTTACTGGAATAAAACCACGAGTATAAGGAAATTAGGCAAATGCCATTTTATATAAATGTATTAACACGTGGAATTTTGGTTGACATAGATGTGTTTGAGAGCCGAAAGGAAAGGGTTGAAAGAGCCGACAATATGTGGAGTGTTGAAGAATCACAACCCTCGGCGACTTTGCTGATGGGCTGGACGAAATAACATCCCCTATCACTACAATTCGGTTTAAAACTTGGAATCACTTTTGTGTGCGTTTTAACGTATTTAAAACATTTAAAAATTGTTGAGCTCAACTGAAAAGAACATATTTTGTGGATTCGATAGCTTTTGACACAAGACTCATCAGGGGAAAAAATACTTTGAGCTTAAATAGAATTTCTTTTAAAAGAATGTTGCAGCAATGTAAAATAGTTGACAATTATTGTATAGGTATGTCATTTATTAATATAAGTAATTTAGTATATATTTATTATATAGGATTTTAAAATGGAGATTAGGGATACATATAAATCGTTCCTACCATATGGAAATTATACCTCAAGGAATAATATTTTATTGCTATCATATTTATTTGTGTTTTCAGCTCATCTTGTGTGAAGTCAAATTTTGCCAGACGTTTCACCATAAGTGAAGACATAGAAACTAGTGACGTAATAGTACACAGGGAAGTTTAATCCTTGGTAAAAGCTGAGACCAGCGAACGAAAACCTAATAAATTTCCCAAATATAACGATAAATATTATTTAAATAGGCTATTGATATTATTCATTACCAACTAAAAGCCCTGACAAACATGTTGTGTTTAGTTAAACAAGAGTAAAACATTACCAGTTTTAATTCAAGTGTAGAGAAAGAAAGTTTCTGGAAAATACACTTTACTCGGAAGTGTAAAGAAGTTTAGCCGCCAGAGCTGAAACTCGAACCATCAATCACATGATTTATGACAAAAGCATCTTGCCGCGTTTACACCGAAACCAATCGATTAACTTCTTGTGGTAAACAAAAAAGTGACTTGCATTTTGCCTTCATTTACACATTCCATGTCTGTCTACTTCTAAAATGACCAAAAACAGGAAACGAATTTGTTTTATAAGTAAATTATGAAAAAATCTGCTTGGTCAGGCAAATTGTCCTTTCATTAAGAAACCAAAATATAGAACTTTGCCTAAAGTGAGGAATTTATGGTCTGAAGAAGCTCTGAATACAATAGAAAGTGCTTATTTTACACCAACGTGGTTTTGAAAAAACATAAACTATTATTAACATTCAACTAATGTCATATTTGTCATATATTAACTAGCTGTTGTACCCGTGCTTCGCAACGGGAAGATGAAATATACCACCTAATCCAAAAACTTGTTAAGTTGATCGAATTTATAAGCAAAGAGCCACCAAATTTAAAAAAAGTATGACCTACACTGTGATTGTCCTTCTGTTTACACTACAATATACCAATAACATAATTTGCATAACTTATGGTTATAGAATCTTTCTTTATTTCCATAAATAAATAAATCTACCACATAGTTGTGTAAAATATTTGATTTAATTTGTTTGGATCAGCTGTCTGTAATTGTGAAATTAGCATTTAGAAGTTCTGACTGTTTACATGGAAATGTCAACGCAAAGGTAAATAAAGGTTGTGAATTTTCTCATTCTTACATGGAGACCAATTAATATTTACTTTTGAAAGCCTCACCTTTGAACATCCAAGGGGCGTAGCCCAAGAGGAACTCAGGGAAGTGAATAGTCCTATGACATTCCTAGGTATGTGGACAATCTTTGTGCATTAATTTGGGCTTTATCGGATTAGTTGTGGCAGCCGGACAGACAGACAGTCAGACAGACAGACATACACCACCTCTATGTTATAATATTATAGGTAGATAAATTATGCAAAGCACACAAGTTTTTATTAATTAAAAACCTTATTTATTAGCTTGCTTTCTTGTTTGTTCGGTACAATTTCGCAATCTATTTTTAACAAACTTCCTGATGAGCTACAGCACCCTCTAATACAAGGCCGCGGCGAGCGAAAAGTGGCAACGTCGCATCCGTGTCTTGGTGCGCGGTCGACTTACCATTACAGTGAATGGAGGAGTCGCGTACCGACGTACATAATCGTGTTTCTACTGCCCTTAATAATTAGTAATGCTATTGAACTTGTTACTACAGCATGCCAGATAAATGTGATATGGCTGGACGCAAGAATAATTACGAACGCTCAATTAAAAATGAATAATACATACAGTGTTCTAAGATTCTATGTGATACACCGCGTAAGCAACAATAGCTTCCTGCTATTCATCGGTCAAATTAGACATCTTAAAACAATTCTCGTTTTTGTGTGAAACATTTTCACGAATATGAACTTAGATTTGTAAAAAAAAAAATTAATAAGACAATGATTCATGTAAATATAGACGCGAGAAGCGAGTTTTAGGTGGTAATGCCGTACGATTTCCTATTGATAAAAGCTGCTGTTAAGTGATTAAAATAACTTAAATAACTAGCACTTCAAAGAAATAAACCGGTGTTTCTGTTAAGTTTAATTAGGCCTACTAGTAAAAAAATATGTACTACACCATCTAACAATTAATGCATCATAGTCTCCGACTCCAGTCTGAATGTTGATGTGATAAAAAAATCTATTAATATTGTGGAAAGCCATATGGAGGCCTAGCTTCTGAAATCATTTACAAAATGGCAAACGTTTTTGCTTATTAATTATTCAAAGAAAATAGATTATTTAGTCAGTATGCCTTCAAAATGAAAACTTAAAATTTTGTTGTCGCTTACTTATGGTTTCCTCCGGTAGACTAAAACATAATATTTCTATTTAAAATTATTTTATTTGAACAAACTGTTAGATATTAGTCCCTACTAATCCCAAAGTCTCTACAAATATTGAAGTGACAATAAGTTAGTCCTACTGTATTACCATTATTGGTAAAGTAGTTATAATTTGTAAAATTTAAGCCCAGTCTGTCTAGTAGTTTTTACTACAGTATGTTGAATAACACACATATTTACAGACACCATGATATTGTTATATTTATATAAAAGTATTGATTATAAAATTAACAAAGGAAATATGTAAAGTCCATCTATTGCCACATTCATCGTACTTACAATACGATAAATGCAACCAAAAACATTATGTTTGTATATTTTTAGTTGAAGACATATTCTGGTACCTATGTTGAAATTCATTTTTCACTAAATAAACAACCTAGATTCTAATTTGTCTTTTTTACCAAATTAAAACTAAAATATGTAATTTAAATATTTTTATTCATTGATACAGAGCAGCAATACTCTCATTGATGTTATTGATCATTTCATTTCCATATTTACCTTGGACTACGCCCCATGGGCTTCCACAATTTCAATGTTTACATTTTGGAAGCATGTAAATATATCAATTGAAGTCAGCTGTAAATACTTTAATTTGACAGTTTGTTCAAAGAGCCGATGTTAAGAAGTACCGGTTATGCTCCAGAGAGATTCTAAGTTTTATGATTATGAGATTTGAGAATAGTAGCAAAGATTACACATTTTGCGTAGCATGTGTAATCTTAGGTATAGTAGCAACAGCATGTGGTTTGTTTTAACCGGCTATATGCCTATAGATTTGATATATTTACACATTAAAGACTAAAAAGTAGAAAATAATTTATAAATATGTGGAGAGAATAAATACTTGTAAGATTTAAAACGTAAAACGTGGGGTATGCAATAGATAATAATAGTTCAATAGGTGAAGATAATTAGCTATTGCATGCACCTTACGTTTTTCGTTTTAAATCTTACAAGTATGTATTCTCTTCACATATTTATAAATTATGTTCTACTTTTTAGTGCGTTTAAAAATATGATATTTTAAAAAGTTTTATTATTTATAAATTATATTACGCTTTTTTGTTATCTTAGCCGTTAGCATTTGTTTTATTTTGTAAAGGAACGGTCCAAACCAGACCTTGGTCATGTTCCTGTCTAACATCAACCTTTTTGTCAAAATACATCAATAAAATACCAATTGATTTTACATGATACGTCTAAGATTGATCTATCAATCATAGAACCTGTGTAGAAAGCATTAGCTGTATAGCATCTACTCGGTTACGTAAAGATAAAAATTAAAGAAAAAGCCCAATGGAAAAATCAGCAGAGCATCAAAGTAATGATTTTCTGTCAATCTTCTCAACGGCTCATTTACCCAGCCATTACATTGATCGATCCTCCATCTTGAAATAATCTTGATCTTTTCTTCAGCATTTTATGTTCAGAAATATCATAGACTTTATTTAATATAAAATGCAAAATCCTGCTGTCACATCTTGTGGTGCTCGTAACGTTTTATTACAGGTGAGAATTCATATTATAATTATTATGTTGGGACTAAACAGTGCGCTGGCACAGTTCTTAATTTTACAAAGCAGGACCAATGAATAACCGGGCTCCCACCAGTTGTCCGACATGTTACTTGGTCGTCAAGACGGCTGACCGCCCTGCCGACCAAGTGAATTGTCGAAGAAATGTCCTCCCAAGTAGTTTGTTTTAGAACAATCATAATAATATGCTAATTTTTTCCTGTGAAGAACTGTCATAGGGAAGCGCCTCATATTTGGAAATAGACAATTCAATGAATATTCGTACTAAAAAAGCTAGGCTAACCTTATTATCAGCTCTCAAAGTACACAAGGAGGCCAGCAAGCCGAGCAACACCGTGCCTCGCCAGCCGGCGGCCATCACTCGCGGGCAACATCGGCACTGCAACATCAACATCAATAATCAACAAACAACAAACAACATCATCAAAACAATTAATAGTTGAAATATTAAAATATGCAAGCCGAACATCATGCCTAACCAGCGCATCACCGCGTACATCTCTCGTGGAAAATATCGGAATTGTGACAAGGGCATCAACATCATCATCAACACCAATATATATAGTTGAAACATTTATATAAGCTAGCCGAGAAACAACGTGGCTCACCAACCTGTGATTATCTGTTGTGGCAACATTAGCCATTATATTTTAGTACGTTTGTAATAATTTATAATTATCCTTTTAGTTACATACTTAAAACATCATAATATTATTGTATACAATGGTTCGGCCCATACACGTCCACAGTGTGACGAATGAAAATAAAATACAATCACAGCAAATAAAATATTTGTTTATAAACTAGCACCATACCACACCACTCTGATAAATCTGGTCTTAAAATGTATTTAAAGCATTTTTTAACTAATTACTTGGATTAAATCTGACTAACAACAGTTTTTACAATAATATACAAATACAAAATGAAAATAAGTATTAAGAACCAAACCGATTTTGTTAAAATATTGTGCTATTTCTATTCCCTTTTATTCTACATTTCCATTTCCATTTCCTAATATTCTACAAAAATAAACTAAATCATAGTTTTAACTGTACAAATGAAATAAATAAATTGTGGGTGTTTAATATTACTGAGTTTTTTAAAGGATGAATTTGACTAACTCCCCAGAACGAATAATATTTAGGATACAAAGCAACAAGTGGCTAAAACATAAAAATTAAACTTTCAATACAAAAATGAATTTATATAGTATCACAGAATGATTTTATATAAATTGGATTACAGACTAGATAAAGTGGAACAATATTGTATGGAACAATATTATTTACAATATTACAAGTAAGTGTATTGAAGCAATGTTTTTATAATAAACCTTAACCGCTGAGACTATTAAATGATAAATATCTATTCTTAACGACTTACAGAATCTCCTTTGACGATTCAGTCACATCTCGAAGTTATCAACTCTATAAAAAGCAACCTCAAAGTAAAGCTATCCTTCCACAATATTTATTGGTTAAGAGGGTTTCTTTGATTGGGAAAATCTGAAGTAAGCCTTCCAAATATAATGTTGAAATAATATAGTAAATAATACAGATGTTTTCAAAAATCTTCACTAAAACTAAATCAAACGCGATTAATTTCTACACTGTTTTGCAAAAGAGCTATCACACTTCCGCTAGGTTTATTTAAAACCTAACCTTAAAGTTTGATTTGTAAAATATATTGAACATTTTTGCACAAACTAACTACATACGCAAGCAACCGGAGATACACTACTTGCGCCAACGCACAACAATGTACACGGTTGCCATGACAACGGTGACGTAATAGAACGCTTGTAGAATCTAGACAATGGTTTAAACAGCTGTTTAGGTCAAGAGCACGCAATGTGAGCTGTGAATTCCTTAGGAGGAAATCTGGATGCGTGACTTGATTGGGAATTGGCCGGACCACCGAAGAAGTTTGTTTATGTTGAAACTGAACGCTATCAAATAAATGTAGGCTATGGTAAACTAATTGCAACATCTAGAGATTAGGATGAACTACGTATGTTTACGTTTGCCTTCGTTATGCTTTCGTTGTTTGCTATCGTTGCTTTTTGAAAGTTTATACAGTACATCAATGCCACCTGCTTTATGTTACCTTTTCACATAATTTACTTTGAGAACTTATTTTGTTTTTTTTTTCATTTCTACGCCAGTGACATTTTGATTCAAGTTAACGTGAGATCAAACCAAACGCTCTTAACGGAAAGCGGTCCAAACCTATTCAAGTTTTGTGAGTGTGCCGGGAATTGAACCCGTCCCTCCCACAGCGAAGTCCGAGACGCTAAGAACTAGGCTAGCAACACAACGAAAAAGTGTTAAGTTTTTTATATTGTTTTTGCCCCTTGTTGCTACATCTTTGTCACGCTGAGAAGAAATTGTCCAATGATGTAGCGCAGATCAATATATGAATTACTGTAACTCTATTTGTGTGTCTGGCAATCCATTGTAACAGACTTTTTGCCGTATGCATGAATTAAATAAAAAACTGAAGCACATAAATAAACAAAATTGCTTACATACGTCTTTCTTAAAATCTTATTCAATAATACAACAAACAGAATGAAACTGTGAGTAATAGAGAAACAAAGGTTATCAACTTTTACATTGGTTCACAAATCCTCTCATCCTTATTCCTAGAGTTAAGTGTTCATAACTCCCAGGAAATTTCGAAAGCTACTAAAAACTCCGTCGCTTTTCTAGTTACCAATCATAACTTCCAACAGATTGGGATTGAACAGAAATTAAAACAAAGAACTCGTTGAAACTGGTGGCTTTAATTTTCAAACATTGACGATTGACTCAACAAGAGTTGTTTGCAAGTCTATGTTTGCCTTGTATTGTCACGAAACTACCCTTAACTTTACCACCCTAAGGGCTACATGGTGTGAGGATAATTAACTGGTCAAGGAATATTTAAATATGGTGTTTTGATTTTACAAAAATGGACCTGTTTTGAAGTATTTGATGTGGGTAAAGACAAATACAATGTAACCACTAAAATACACACAATAATAACATTGGTCAAATGAAATTCAAACAGGGTATACATCATGTGATTGGTATTGCAGGATTTGACGTATAGAAGGAAAAAACCAATTACCTAACATTTAAAATACATTAAACATCAAATATATTCTAATGAGGTCTGTTTATGTAGAAAGGGAAATATTTTCAGATCATAAACCTATCGTATTCATAGTATGACAAATTTTAGCCCCGGATACGATACGAGCGGCGAGAGGTGAGTGGTGAGCGGCATGAGCGGCGCCGCTCTGACATCGGTTCTCATTTAATTGCGTGTAAATTTATTGAGGGTGGCCACGATACGTTAAGCGGTGAGCGGTGGTAAGCGGCACTGCTCAGCGCCGCTCATGGTTCCAAGTCAAAACCGATTTTCGCGAAAACGCCGCTCGCCGCTCCAGCCTAAAATGACAGAGCAACATCATCTAACGTGCGATACGTGTTGATACGTGAGGTGCAGTCCAGGGAATGTTTGTGGAATGACCAGCCAGAGGTTTTAAAACACTTCAATCACCCGAAAAGTACGTGACGAAGTAGGAACTGCGTTTTTTCTTAAACCTAAGGAAAAATATAAGGTTAATAAGTTGGCGAATTATGCACTTAAAAATAAAATTACTTGGGCGGAGCCTGAAAGTCAGGTCAGAATAAAAACTACTTAGCTTACCTATTTTATGCCTAATGAATCAGTGTACTAAATTCCAGTCTTCTAGGTAAATAGGAAGTAGGAGAATTAGTGATGAGTGAGGGCTTTGTATTTCATAAGTATAGATGGAGAGCTTACTGATAATACCCAATATTTTGAAACCTCAAGTTTACACGATGCAAAAGTAGGTGCGGGTCAGGTCACATGAGGAATTGCATACAAGAAAACTAGCTAGCAGCTACACGAAAAAAAAAAACATGGCTCCTATTACAAGTCATGTACAAACAGACCAATCCATATCTTAAAGCCATCATCAAAGAATAAACACGGTGAGACATTCTATTGATGTTTACTTTTGTAAACAATATCTTGAAGGAAAGATGAGACTCGGTGTTTGCACGGGAAGCGGCCATGTTATTGATCTGATCTGTTCCTACAGTGCTACCCGCAGGGTATCATACTCGGTCCGATCTTCTTCTTATTGCGATCTATGGATATTCACAAGTAATGTTATATACTCTTATTTTCAGATAGATTTATTCAAAATTTTAACGTTTTACTTAGCTAGTTGAATGAAATTTGTTTATTATTTTGGGGTATCAGACTGTTTTGATTGTTTTTGGTAAAACTGTTACTTTAGGTTTCCTTCCCTGGATCAAGAATTGTATGAATTAAATTCTCTCGTAAGATTATGCCTTAGAGACCCCTTAATATTTTTCGAAATTTGGATTGTGATTCATGGGCATTGTTCCCGAAACATAGGAAAGATAAAATATATAATAGAAATCAAAATTATTTAGACTACTTATGCTTAGAGATTTTCATTAAATCTGTATATTTACTCAATGTAAACGGGTTTCAAAAATCAGTACAATTATTGGTTATGCTTACTCATTACAGATTATTACCCTCATGGTTTACCTGAAGAGTGTTTGCTTGTTTTATATGGAAATAAAATCAACACAAAGTATAATTTACCTATAGTTTACATGACATTGTAACTAATTGTATTATGGACAGGTCAAATCGATAAATAACGATAATCTTTTGATCAAATGTTAAAAAATGAAATTCATCGGTTATTTCGTTTGTATTACGTTTAACGTGTCAAATTACCATTAACAAATTATGCTAAGTTGATTTCAGCAAATTATATTGCATTTCCCTTTCAACAGTGTTTTTGTGTATTTCCTCAATACATATGATGTACTTTGCATGGCAAATTAGTGTACAGTATTACAAAGAAAAGATCACAACATACAATTGGAGCACAACAAGCTATTGGAGGAAATTGATAAGTTTTAAACCCAACACGCCAAATTTTAAAATCCTGTTACTTTGAAAATATTCGTATAACCTAGTGCATTTGTCATAGAGTTAATATGAAATTTATTCCTTGTTGCCTGTTGTTTTGGAGAATTCTAATAATTTCAAAACAACACTGGTTTTGTACGATTGCCATTGACACATACATGAGTTAACTAGACTGGGATAATGAATGTATGAACTATCACTGATTACCTGTAATGTATTCTGTAATCATGTTGGATTGCTTTCTGGATTAAATTCACAGTCACGAGTCGCAATAAATTAACTACAATGAGATAGGGTTATTCCTAATCATTCAGGGAGAGTTTTTGAGATAATTGTTGCAGTTATCTACCAACGTTACACTCTGTACTCGCATTATAAATAGAAACA